AAGGTACTTATGTTTGGACACTTTGGCTGTGTCGTGTTTCTCTTAGATCTCTTAGTAGTCTGCTTATTCTGAAAGGTAGGAATCTTTCATAGATAATCAACAAACATCATTGATCAATTATACTTTTGGGGATCACATTTGAGTATTGGCAACTGTGCAAAGAGGAGATATAGACTCCTTAGGAGTTTAGTCCTGTGCTCTAAGACATGTGCGTTTATCCCAGACTCTCGTATAAAAAGCCAGTGGCTGTTGTGTACAGAACAGGGTGGGACTGAGGCCAGACTTCCTGGGATCTAGCTCTGGGGCTAGCACTAGCCAGCTGTGTTACTTCTCTCCTATAAATCTTTTCTTAAAAATAGGGTGATAATGATCCTTACCTCATTAAATTTTGGTGACGATTAAATGACATAAAATGCATTAAGAGCCTAGAGTATGTCTGGTACTTAGTAAGTGCTCAGTAAATTTATGATGTGTAAATGGACATCAGATGATGTCAAATTTGTCAAGCTAGTTTTTAATATTTTTTTCCAATCCCTCTCATTCTGCATTTTTTTCTACGTCGCATGTGTTATGTGAGCCATGTAAAAGCTTTGTAATTTTGGGAGGAAGAGTAATGGGAATTGAATAATGTGGGCAGTAAGTGGGCTGTTGTTACTATAACAATATTCGACCCATAAGCTATTGGGATAAGACCATGCTATCAATTGTAGGAAGCAGCATTAGTAAAACATTTCATTTCGTGGTACTTTGGAGTTTACAATGTGTTTTCTTTTTTTTTTGAGACGGAGTTTCACTCTTGTAACCCAGGCTGGAGTGCAATGGCGCAATCTCGGCTCACCGCAACCTCCGCCTCCTGGGTTCAGGCAATTCTCCTGCCTCAGCCTCCTGAGTAGCTGGGATTACAGGCACGCACCACCATGCCCAGCTAATGGTTTTTTTAATTGTATTTTTAGTAGAGATGGGGTTTCACCATGTTGACCAGGATGGTCTCGATCTCTTGACCTCGTGATCCACCCGCCTTGGCCTCCCAAAGTGCTGGGATTACAGGCTTGAGCCACCGCGCCCGGTCAACAATGTGTTTTCTAATGTCATGTCTAATTTAAACACAAAGGAAATAGGAAGTGCAGAGAAACAACTCATTTTCTTTTTGTCTCATCACCAGGCTAAGTGAGACCCAGGTGTGCAGCCTCAGCTCAGTGATCTCAGCCACCATCAGAGCAGCTCTCTGCAGTACACTGAAGCACTTGTTGGGTGCACAGAGTCCCTGTTGTTATGTTCAGCATTGTAGGAGGTTATAAGAAAGGCAGCTTTGTATGGCCTTCGTGGCCATGTGTATGTAGTTCTGCTTGAGAACAAAGTTAAATGAATGTGTAGCCCTCGTCCCTTGGAGGCCCTTTCGGTGAGAGCTTTCTCTGTCTTTGTCTTCTCTTGTCTTCAAGGACCTTCTTACTCCCTTGTCTAATGTGTGACATCTTTTCCTCCATGAGCAAGATTTTCCTGTTTCTATTTGCTGTAGTCTGCTGGTATATTGTTCTGCTTTCCCTTTGTTTAGTTAAATTATTTCTACTTTGTCTTGATATATAACCGTAGTATATTAGTCTCATCCCTTTGGAACATATTTAGGTCTCGATGCTGTCAGCCATTATGTTGAAGAGGACAGGGCAAAGGAAAGAGCCCTGCATTAGGGAACTGGGACCTTCCCTGTAACCATTTAGGATTTAGAGTCATTTGGCCTGGAGCTGTTATTCCCCAGCTATGAATCCACCTACCTGTCTCACTGATCTGTGCCTCTGGCTTCCACTTCTACACAGCCTGATGACTGAAAAAAATTCCCCAAATAATCTTAAAACTCACCTAGAAGGAGTAGGGATTCATGTAGTGTCCCTGAAGTCTCATTGTTTTCACCCCATTCCTACTCCCTCCCAGACGTACCCTTTGCTGTCATTGGGGCTCTTTTGGGGGCTGGGAAGGATTTTAATCCTGTCTGGTCCTCTCCCAAGATTAGTAGTATAATTGAAAATGTGCCCACAAGCATAATCTCTGAATTGGTGGATTTAAAACAAAGCTGATTAGAGACTTCCAATAGTAAGTATGTAAAAAGAAAATCTCTCTTGTAAAGATGTTATTGATAATGAAAAGCTGAAACCCTTGATACTCTGCACACAGCTGGTGTGGGCTTTCTATAGATTCAGAGGCATCTGCATGTGTCCTGCTTATCAATCCTTAGGCTACTCCAGCCCGCAAAGTGTAGCACTCTCTTGGTGGATCCTGCCAAAATGACACATCTTTCTGCTTTGGGATGACCGCTAGGTCCTGGGGTTTCTCTCTCTCTGCCTCTTCCCAGCCCTACCCTACTGAACATTTTAGTGTGGCTTAGCACTGTTGCCTTTGTAGATGTTAACGCTCGACCTCAGAGACAAAGATCTAGGCAGGAAGGAGGATCTTTTGGGAACCAGTTTGGAGTTGATTTTTGACCCTAAGAAAATAGTTCACCTATAATCAGCTAGAGATGCTGTTTGTACATTTCTCCTTCATTCATGTACATTTACTCTTAAAATTTCCTGGGTTAGTGGGTCTCCCGAGGTGGCTGAGAGATTCTAGAAAGTAACAGTACCACTGGGCTGCATCCTTAAAGATGCTGCTGTGAAGGACAGCCACAGAGGCCAGCGTGCGCCATTGCCCTCATCCCTTGGAGGCCCTTTCAGTGAGAGCTTTCTCTGTCTTTGTCTTTTCTTGTCTTCAAGGACCTTCTTACTCCCTTGTCCAATGTGTGACATCTTTTCCTCCATGAGCTAGATTTTCCTGCCGAATAGCTGTAGTCTGCTGGTATATTGTTCTGCTTTCCCTTTGTTTAGTTATTTCTACTTTGTCTCGATATATAACAGTGGTATATTAGTCTCATCCCTTTGGAACATTTTTAGGTCTCGATGCTGTCAGCCATTATGTTGAAGAGAACAGGGCAAAGGAAAGAGCCCTGCATTAGGGAACTGGGACCTTCCCTGTAACCATTTAGGATTTAGAGTCATTTGGCCTGGAGCTGTTATTCCCCAGCTACGAATCCACCTACCTGTCCCACTGGTGTGTGCCTCCAGCCTCCACTTCTACACATGGAAATCAGGAGAGGCTGTCTTAAATCCTTTTGGTAAAATCTAAACATTCATATTTTTAAAAATTTTATTACTTTTACTTTTTTTTGAGATAAAGTCTTGCTCTGTCACCCAGGCTGGAGTGCAATGGCACGATCTTGGCTCACTACAACCTCTGCTTCTTTGGTTCAAGCAATTCTCCTGTCTCAGCCTCCCAAGTAGCAAGGATTACAGAAGTGTGCCACCACGCTTAGCTAATTTTTTAATAGTTTTATAGAGATGGGGTTTCACCATGTTGGTCAGGCTGGTCTTGAGCCCCTGACCTCAGATGATCCCCCTGCCTTGGCCTCCCAAAATGCTGGGCTTACAGGCATGAGCCACTGTGCCTGGCCTCAGACATTTATGACCTCTACCTTTCCATGGTTTACCCACAGTGGAGTTCTTAATAAATACTATTGTCATTTTTCCATTTCTAATTTCCTGTTTAAATAAAATAAATTCGATATTTGTCTTTCTAGTGTGTTGGCATGTCTCCTGTTCTCCTAAATTCCTTAAGGACCAGTGCAGCAGTTTCCCAATTTCATTTTCACATTCCTTCAGTGTGATAAGTGAATTAAAGCCAATTTATTATCCAGAATTGCCTCATTTATTTCAAAATAAGCTGTGTACCAAGAAAGCTCTATTCCCTCAGCAAGAGCTAACTCCAGTTTTAAAGCTCATCCTAGAGAAAAACAGACTTACCTAGTTTGTTTTAGCTATTACAGACCCTCTTTAAAAAAGAAATAGGCCTTTGGATGTTGCCAGAGAGTTAGAAAGCTAGCTCAGAGACTGAGAAGGTAAATGAAGAGGGAGGGTAAAAACTGATTTTGAGTGTTTAGAGTGTATGAAATGTCACTTTTCTCTTAACCTCTCCCTTAAGGAAAAGGAGAGATTGTTATAGTAGTGTCTGGTCAGGGCGTGCATGTGTAGAAGTCTTCTGCAACCCTAGGGTAAAATACAGATCTTTTAAAATTTTCATGAGTTTCTTACATTTGTCAGAAGTTGTCTACAGCTTGGATGATATTTTCCTGATAGTTTATAAACTTCTATTGACTTCTCTGTTTTTCTATTCACCCACACCATTTATTTTCTCTTTATTGCATTTTATTCTCTTAGGAAGATAAAACAGAAAAACAAAACAAAACAACCTCCCCCCCCGCAAAAAAAAAGCTAAGTCTGAAGCAGACCGTTGAATAATATTCGTTTAACTGATGAACAGATTTTCCTCCCACGAAAGAGACAAAAGGGAGATAATTCATAGCTCTTCCCTGTTTTTAAAGACTGTGCTGGAAAATTCCCAAATGTTATCGAAATAAAGGAATGACTTTGGGTGTTCAGAACAACTCGGGGAGAGAAACAAAATTCATTGAGCATGTAATGTCACCTGGCACAAACTCAAAATGTGTTTTTTAAAAATCACATATTTCATGATTTTATTGTATTCTCACGGCAGCCTTTCAGAGTATGGGAATTATCCTCATTTTACAGATGAGCAACCTGAGATGTAGACAGGCTAAGTAACTTGTTAAGGATCACCTGGATGGGAATTGGCCGAATTAAAATCCAACACTTTGTGTTAGGCGGGGTGGCTCATATCTGTAATCCCAGCACTTTGAGAGGCCAATGTGGGTGGATTACCTGAGGTCAGGAGTTTGAGACCAGCCTGACCAACGTGGTGAAACCCTGTCTCTACTAATAATTCAAAAATTAGCCAGATGTGGTGGCGCATGCCTGTAATCCCAGATACTTGGGAGGCCGAGGCAGCAGAATTGATTGAACCTGGGAGGTGGTGGTTGCAGGGAGCTGAGAGCACGCCATTGTACTCTAGCCTGGGCAACAAGAGCAAGACCCTGTCTCAAACAAACAAAAAAAAAACCACGACACTTTGATTTGCTGTCTAAGACCCATTTTGTGAATATTCAACTGGTAAACGTCATACATAACGATGAGATTAGGCATCTACAGAAGTAACTCAGCTTGTCTGTAAACATCCTACGCTCCAAAAAAATTGACATCTAATACATAGTATTGGTCTTGTCTGAAGGAAGACTTAACAGAGAGGGATGGTCAGTATGGGATTGTAAACAGGAGGTCAGAGAGGACGAGTGTGTTACTTATACCCACCAGAACGCAGGGAAGCATGGTGAGAAGCAACAGGAGGTCTGTCCGCTTGGCAGGCTGGCAGCTCCACGAGATGGAGACATGTGCTCCTGCTATTATGGTTGAAGTCAGTGGCCATGAGATCATCTATAGACTGGGAGAAGGCAGTGTGGACAAGTGCCTCAGGGCACAGGCTCTCTAGGGGAACATGAATTCATGTTCCCCAATCTTTCCAACTACCATGCAGGGAAGATATTAAAATGAACTTTCCCCAGACAAGAAAACAGGCTCGGTGAAGTTATACTCGGGCAAGTCAAAGAGGGGTAGAGATAGGCGTACGCCCAGCCTGGCTTCAGAACGCTCTTGGCAACGTTGCTCTGTCTCCTAATAGTCTTAGCGTCCCTGGGATGCTGCCATTTGTTTTCTTTTCTGATGGAGAGCTGATTGTGAAGTTGGGTTCACATGGGTGACTTGAATTCCAGGGAGTCAGACAGTGTCACAGCTTCCTGCGGGGGATTCCCCATCTTTGATGCCTTTGACTCCCAGTCCCGAGGGACACTCATCTCCCTGGTAAGCACTGCCTTGGACTACATGAGTGATTTTCCCTTGGTTGGTTTCCAACCAGGTGGACACCTAGCTCCCTGCTGGTCTGTGCCTGGCTGAGATATCTAAGAGCAGATCATTGCTCAATTCTGAATCCCAGCCCTCAGGGGAGCAGCCAGCGCCTCTGCTTCCTGCCTCTTCTAGCAGATGGCCCTGATCTGAGAGTTTAAGTGATATCTATCTGAGAGGAGTGATTAGTGGAGACAGTAGCACCTCATTTTAATAATTTAAAAATCAGAAAATATGCCACTTTGAATACAAAAGCTGTTAAGAGGCATTTAATAAAAATGTTTAGCTGCTTTCCACAATGAGAAAACATTGTCGTAACTAAAGCACACTTCAGATATTTAAGCATTAAAGCATCCCCGGAGACTTATTCTTAACAGTCAAATGTATTGCTTTGTTCAAGATGATTCTGTAGTGAAGAGGCATTACAAAGGCAAGAAGAGATGAGAATCCTTTATAATTAGTGTGCACTATTTGACTGCAAATGAGTACTTGAAAACAGTTTGCTCTCTTAAACATCTTAAGTGTTCTCACTGTCGTCTTACACAAGGTATTAATCAGTTTAAACAACCTCTTTATTTGTCGGCAGCACAAAGGTTAACTTCAGTCCAGCCCTGTCTAGTTATCACCAACTCCAAATGCTAATGTTGTTTGATTTCATTAGACAGAATTGAGCTTTCTGTATGTAGTCATGGCCTCTTAAAACTTGCAAGGCTGGTGCGGTGGCTCACTCCTGCAATCACAGCACTTTGGGAGGCTGAGGCAGGTGGATTACCTGAGGTCAGGAGTTTGAGACCAGCCTGGCCAACATGGGGAAGCCTTGTCTCTAATAAAAATACAAAAATTAGCTGGGCGTGGTGGTGCATGCCTGTAATCTCACCTACTTGGGAGGCTGAGGCAGGAGAATTGCTTGAGCTCCGGGGGTGGAGGCTGCAGTGAGCCAAGATTGTGCCACTGCGCTCCAGCCTGGGAGATAGAGTGAGACCCCATCTCAAAACAAACAAACAAACAAACAAACCTTGCAAACTATATATAGTGTCTCTATATGAAGTGAGATTAGAGAAATTTTATAATAGAAGAGTCTTCAGGTATAAATAAAGGACAACTGTATTCTATTATAAATGTTTTCTTACATCTCAGACCCAGGTAAGTTACAGGTCACACTCAGCGCCTGCCCCTCTGCATACAGCAGCAGGGCGTTATAACATCAGCTTATTGAGAGTGTGGATCACTGTAACATAGGAGTCGTGTTATGCCGATATTTGTATTCCCTCACACCACTGCACCATGTTCCAATACTAACGTGGAAAAAAATACTGAATATTCCCTTGTTTTTCAGTAGGACCATAGAGCAGGACGTTTGCAATTGTATAATGGTTTCCTTTTGAAAGTCAGGCATTTAAAATGGCACAAAGCTTTGATGTGGGCTTATGTTCTGAGTGTCATAAGATTTAGTCCAAAGTAGGAACTTACTTAAAAGATGCTCCAGTTTCCAGCTTGCTGTTTCTGTGTGAAATACTGAAAATTTGGGATCCTTTTAAAAATAAACACATGTCAAAGTTGGCATGCAAAGTAGGACATTTAGAAAGCTCTGAAAATAAGCCCATGAATAAATATAGCATTAAAAAGGTAACTGTGCACTTTACAGATGGGCTCGCATGAAGGAAGCTATCTTTTGTTAGGGCAGATACGAGACTTTGCAGCTCCTTGCTGCAAAAAAGAAGAGCAGAAACTTAAGTTGTTTAGTTGTTTTGAAATAACAGCTACACAGCGGGCTCCTTCTGGTTCATCCATATTTTATTAGGACAGCAGTTAAAAAATTCATTAGAGACACCCATCTGTAGCTAGCAGCACTCTTGAGGGGGGTTCAGATGGTGATCAGATTTTGGAGTAGCACTTTACACAAAAAGAAAAAGACAATTGTTAAGGGGAATTAATATCACGGTGGAGAGAGTCTGCTTGATGCCTTTCAAAGCATACCCTTCCACATGGTTTATGAATCTTTTGCTACTGAATTCCTCGACCACCTGCTTCAGCTGGGAAAGAGAGATTCAGACATAAAAAGAAGAGAAAACAGAACACAAAAAATTGGATCAGAGAGTTGAGACTGTATTGGTTAATGGAGAACATAGACGTCTATGTGATCCCATGCTGGGCTCTCGTGTGTGTGTGTGTGTGTGTGTGTGTGTGTGTGTGTGTGTGTGTGTAGATCATGTTGTCCCCCTGAGGAACCTCATCAGTACAAAGAAAAAGCTTGTGGTCAGAGCTGCGGCTTCCATGGTTTAGCTTGGCCTTGAACACCACCTCCCTGATGGTCAGGTCCAGGTGCCTTTCCTTCAGGAGGATATTCTCATCTTCATTCATGAGTTGAAAATAACTCTAGTTATTGAATGGCAATACAGGGGAAGAGACCTCTTCTCTAGGTTCCATAGCTGGATCTATGAAATTGACAACAGACAGATTAACAGGAGAATAGGCATAGACATTTATTATTATTATTATTTTTTGAGATGAAGTTTTGCTCTTGTTGCCCAGGCTGTGCAATGGTACGATCTCAGCTCACTACAACCTCCACCTCCTGGGTTCAAGCGATTCTCTTGCCTCAGCCTCCCAAGTAGCTGGGATTACAGATGCCCACTGCCACCATGCCTTGCTAATTTTTTGTATTTTCAGTAGAGTCAGGGGCTGATCTCGAACTCCTGATCTCAGGTGATCCACCTGCTTTGGCCCCCCAAAGTGCTGGGATTACAGGTGTGCACCACCATGCCCAGCTCATTTATTAATTTTTAATATTATGTGCATGGGGACATAACAGGAAAAAATAGTGAATGCCCCAAAAAGTGGTGAGATTTGAGAGCTTATATACCCTTTTCATAGGGAAAGGGGAGGAGGATGTAGGCTGTGATTTTTAGAAATGTGCTGTTAGAACAGCAGATGAAAGATAGGAGAGTTTGTGGCAAAGTTTGTCTGGGTGTGGTGTCAACTCCTAGTCTTCTCTCTGCAATATGAATCTGTCTTCTCTGGTTGATAAACTTCCGGGATGGCAATTCATGACAACCGAGTTCCTTTGGGAGCATCTGTTGTTGAGCAGATAAAGGGAATTCAGAGAAAACCTGTCCTTGCTCTTGCTGTTTTTCAAGTGCCTACAGCTCAAAATAATCAGTATTACAAAGCAGCATAGTTTGGAGTGGCCTATTTTTGATTTCCTTCGGTGACTCTGTGCCAGGCATGGTGTTGAGCGGTTAAAGTCATAATCTCATCTATCCTTCCAGCAATCCTAGAAGGTGGAGTCCCATTTTACAGATGAGCTAATGGAAGCAGCAGAGAGGTAAGTCACTTGACCATGCTCACTCAGAAGAGGCAGAGCCAAAGTGTAAGCCCAGGCAATTTGTCATCTGCTGTTCACCTCTGCAAACGTCCAGGTCCATAAACGGTGTGCGTGTAAATGTTTTTCAGATAAACTTTTTATTTTGGAATAATTATAGCTTTATCAAAAAGCTGCAAAGACAGCACAGAGTTCCCTTCACCCCGCTGCCTCTAAAGGTAAGGGCTTATATAATCATGGCACGTGTATTAAGACTCAAAAATGAACACTGGTGCATGAACTAAACTACAAATCTTATTCAAATTTCACCAGTATCCTCTTCCTTTTCCCTCATCCAATCCAGGATCCCACACTGTATGTCACATGCATGGTTTTTGACCCTTAAACACGAAGTGGGCTGGATGTCAAACTGCTAGGTGGCCCATTTCTCCTCACTACTGATGAGGGAAGTGAGAGGCTGGTGCTACCTGTCACCTTCCTTGTGGGGCCCAAGACTCCCATTGTCTGATGGAAAGAGAAACCCTATGTAGGGTAGAAGATTTAGAAGGAGATATGGGGACAAATTTTAAATATAGACCATACATTTTCTACCTGTAATAGTTTGTAGCTAAAACCACATTTCAAGAAATGGAAAAAGACTGGGGGAGAGAGAATATTCTGCAGAGAAATAACTTCCCTACCATCATTAATGTTAAGTTTGTGATGCATTGGAATCCCTGGTGTACTAGGACTTTAAATAGGACTTTTCCTTAAAACGAAGGTTTCCAGTTCTGGCTGACCCCTAGAATCACCTGGATAGTGTGCAGAAGCACCAGTACCAGAGTCCCATCCCTCGATGTTGTAATTCCATCAGTCTTGGTTGTGGTTTAGACCTCTGAAGTTTTAAAAGATACCGCCATGTTTTTTTTTTTTTTTTTTTTTTTTTTTTGAGATAGAGTCTTGCTCTGTTGGCCAGGCTGGAGTGCAGTGGCGTGACTGTGGCTCACTGCCACCTTAACTTCCTAGGATCAAGGTATCCTCCTGGGTGCATCTGGGATGCATGTGATTTGCCTGTATTCTGTGAACAGCCCCTCTGTAAAGAACCCCTCTGTGACCAAGCCCTCCTGGAATCCCAGTGTGGGTTCCTTGGGTGGTCTCGGGTCACTTTTTTCACAAGCCCTCTTCTTTCAGGATTTGCCTTCTTAGGTGGCCTCGTTGACCCTCCTGGCTTTCCCACTTGCGTGGCGTGTGTTTCCAGCTCTCTTCCCTCTGGTCTAGGGTCCTGCCTTGGCCCTGTCCTCTGGATCCCCCACCTGTATGCCCTCCTGAGTCTGTTCCCATCCCGCCGTCCGCCTCATCCTCCATAGCTGCCACACCGTCTGTACCCAAGTCCCAGTGGTTCTGAACTTCTTCAAGCTGGCTGTACTCAGCACTGCCTTCCACACTGCGCTTGTTGCTGTTCACTCACCCTCCTTTTTGGCCTGGGGAGCCTCAGCCTTCCAGTTCAGTTTCCTGGCCTCCTGCAGTGGAGTTGCTCACAGCTTGGTCTGCATCTGCTTGTTGACATATCTGTCTTCCCCAGGGAGCCATGAGCTCCTTTGAGGACAGGAACCATGACTTTGAAAAATTACTAATTAATTTTTAGAGATGGGGTCTT